AGTGGTATTTTTCTTGCAGCGAATATATACTTCTTAAGGTTTGCTTGCAGCTTATGATCGTGTACAAGTGTAATATCCTGAAAAATTGCGCTCTATGGACTTCCACACTCGTCTTTCCGCCCATAGCACGGCTATCGAGGATCACATCGTCGAAGTAACTCGGTGCGAAATCTAGCATCGGTCTTAAAAGATTTGTAGCACATCTGTTAAATGTGGAAGGGGCGTTATCAAGCCTTTGTGTCATTAATAGCTACTAAAACATCATACCACGTGAATGTTCACATCTGTGTACGGGATATTCCGCTCACGCAAAAGGAGCTAATAGGAGCCATATTTGTTAGGTTCGTCAATAAATGTTTAGTATCCTTACCCCATACCATCTATGATTACGTTCTTCCTTGGAATCGGCGTCTGAGCCAATATTGTTGCAGCATTTATACTGTTGAGTGCACGCACTATCCACAACACTCCTGTAGCCTTGCGCACTCACAAGATCAGGTAGCTGCCCAAAGAGATTGGCTATCTTCAGTGGCCCACTGCTAAGTAATCAGTATCGAACTTTACAATTACGAGTACTTGTTCGTGAGGCAGTGTTCACTGCTTCATGACACGGTAAATAGATTCCGGCTTGAGCTCAAATTTATGTTGCGTGCCTCTATCTTTGACAACTCTATGCTACGGATTCAGAGAATGTATCCTTTAGCTTGACTGAATTTTTGAATTTTGATTTTACGAAGAGACTCCTTAGATTATGTCTTACTTCGTTTATTATGAGATTCCGCACAGAGAAAGCTTTCGTCAATAGATGAGCTGCTAAGAACTCGCATGTTCTCGGAAAATCCCACTGTCGACATAATTTTGTTCACATAATTGCCCTTGGCGACAAGTACGCAGATCTTCTTGACTTTGCCACTATGCAGATCTCGCAATAATCGTTTCGGTTCTAGATTTGGCAGCTAATCCGAAATTAGATTTGGAGGCGCGATCATGTAAATTGCATAGGTGCTTACTTTTGACCTGTCTATAAACAATGCATTCAAAGTCTAGGCTTCTTATTGGAAACTTTTTGTACAGACTTCTGAGGACTTATCCCCTCCGGTTTTTGAGGTCTTACAACCTCAACAATAACTGCTTGATATGTTTCTTCCTTCAGTACGATGGGGTTTATTTTCTCGGCGTCTTCTAGATGTCGCTTAGCTACTAAATCCAAGTTCTCGTCGTTCGACTGTCCGGTCGACTCAGTTCATCGTGTTTCCTTGTGTGTGCAACTGGTCTATTCTTCTTAGATGTCGCCCGCCAGGCGTACATCTTGTCCCGGTCCACTCGACTTGGTCTAGTGATGGCCTTTAGCGCTGCCTTTGCATCCGCACAGCCTCCAGTAGAATCCCCTAAACTGTGATAAGATATCACACTGTGATCGTGTGCATTCTTGCTAACGACCGTATCACAAGTGAGGTCATCACACTCACACGAAGTACATCTACAAGCTTGTGGACGCTCCAAGACTTTCATCAGATGGCCATCTGATGAAAAAGTGGCAGGAATTCCCACGTTAGGTGCTGCCAGTTGACCCCTGGCTCGTAGCTTCTGATAAAGTGTAACCCTAGGATGACATCAGATGTGTTATTTAAATTTAGTACGATATGACTATTTTAACACTGCAAATTGTCCAGTGTGTATTGGAAACCCACTACACATTTCATCACTATTATCGATGCGCCTGTTGCAAGGCGCACCGATGTCCTCGTAGAAAAGATGTCTCGTTTAACGAACTTGAGCCTACGACCCTCCAGAGACAGGACGACGAACAAAGATGTTTGAGGCCCCACAGTGAACGAGACCATGGAGTGAAATTCTTATATCACTTTCATTTTTTTAGCTGGTGAGGAAGACGTCACTACCAATTGCAGATACACACAGTTATTGTGAGTCTGAAGCAAATCATATCAAGAGATTTGAAAATTGTCTTTTAAGTTGCTGGATCAGTAGAACGATCAGCCCTTACTGAACCTGCGCTTTTTTACGGTCTACTCCGTTGTTGCAATTTTGCAATAATCGAATCCGCATCCGTTGTCGATTTAACCGACGGACGATCTTTTTGCTCAGTATTCCGAAACACCGGGCGTAGAGCACTACACTGTAGGTGAATGGTTCCATCCTCTGACAGCGATGACACTTCTGCAATTTCTTATTGATCAAAGACCGAAGACTTTTGCTGTCTACATAACGTAGATTGATGTATTCTGGATCTCCGACCTCTTGTCGTCTTGGTGGACGATGTGATAGTGATCTAGCTGGAGCCTGTCTCGAGCTAAAATCTTCCGATTTCGAACTCATATTGCTTCTTTTCTTTTCTACCGTATCAAAGTCCCCAGACGGAACTGGTGGGACCAACCGCAATATCCAGTATGAACACCGTAATTAACGTGTGTTCATAACCAATTTGGCCGTTATACAACTAGCAAGGAGTCGAATGTGTTAGGTGTAAGCGTGCCATAGCGCTTATCCTGCTTAAGTTTTAGGAGATCTGATGGAGCCCTGAACTCAGACCTTTGAAATACAAACGTCTATTTGAGCCGGGTCTTGAATACCTCAAACACCCCAAAACACACGGGCCGTACAACGTGAGCCCTGATGTCCAGTTTTTGGCAAGTCCTGTCAGTTATGACTAAGCAAGTGAGACTTAAATTTGCTCTTCAACAAGTGACAAGTCCTAATGATGTCGTCTTTCTCGACGGAATATTTGTGAGGAAGTTTTTTACGACTTCTTTGCATTTGAAGATGCCAATCTTCAGGGTTCGGGTCGACGCGCGTGCTTCGCCTAATTAACAGTAGTCTGTGCCTGCTGTTGTCGTGACAATTCGAACTGTTGATCATCCTGGTCTCTCAACATATCTCTCTGTTAAAAGCATTGCTGGTGAAGAAATATGACTTTCACCCGTGGCGCGTCAAGTTCAATTTGTGTGAGCTCGGCAACGGTGGCATGCTTCTCATCGCTGTCCATTGCGGACAGAATGGCATAGAAGGCATGATCGTCGACGGTTGAACCATTTGTCCGACCGCACTCCATTCGATGTCAATGAAATCGGAGTATGATTCACGTGTGGAGTCCAAGCTGTCACCATCATCATTTACATGTTCCTGTTGGATCAGAATTTTCAATACTGGGACGGACTACTAAGTGCTGCCAGGTGTAACGGGGCAATGGCAATTTTCACTGACACGGAACATGTCCTCCACATTGACATGGTGTGAGTAGTGACGCGCGTCACTTCGCGTACATGGTTGGTGCAGAGGTAGACTACCTATTAAACTAATGTCGAATAGAGGCAGAAAGGAAATCTACATCAAATAAAATTAAGTCATAATCATCAGACTATGTTTTAGTCCTGACCCAATTTTATCTATTTACAAAAACGTATATAAGAGTCTTGCTCGCCACTCATTGCGCGTCCGTCATTATTGTACCGCTGAGATGGCGGATATAATGGCCTATATCAGCCAAGGAGCGAGCGCTTCTTACCTTTGCCCTCTTAGTTAATATTCAAAGAGACTTGTTAAATTCACTCAACTTTCTTTTTTCTGGTTGGTTAATATGCGCTAAAATTATTGTTCAGGCACACCATGATATATACAATAACATTCTGCTTTATTAACGATGAGTAACAAGAGTTCATGCACCTCAAGCTCGTGCATTGTACGATAGTCGTCCGCACTTTTTCATCTCTACATCGTGTACTGCGGTACCTTCTGCCAATACAAGGCATGATTCTGCACTCGCAGTACTCGTGACACAGTATGATCCACCGCTTAAAAGACGCATCCTTGATTGTTGAGAGCGGCGTAGATACCGCAAAACAGTTTAAAATTCTGCGGAGGTTTACGTTGGAATAACTATTTCAATTTGATACATGACTGGAGTGTGAGCGGAGGTCGTTATCACGTAAACGCGCGCTTTTATAATTTTAGATACTTTTGTGTGTCGTACATAGAATAATAGTAAAGTATAGTATCGTGTCGTGTGTATACAAGTGGCTAATTATAAGTTATAATGATAACCTAACGGTACTACACTTTGCAATTTTATTATACAGCCTCCTTTATTCGTCAAGTGACATCTATGTCGCTGCTTCTTTTGATACAGAAATGTGCAACATTGTCCTTTGTCGCCTTCATCGCCACCTTCTTGTCCTTATCGTCTCCTTCTTCTTTTCCTATGTCTTTCCATTTCATCTTTTGTTCCAATGATGCTTTCATTCTCGTATGTTGAGTGTCATTGGAAAATGAGCGTTTTCGCCGCGCTATTTTGAACATTAGTTAGCCCGTTAGTAGACGTGAGACGCTTTCTTATAGATGTGCTTACACTTTCAGGATAATAGTGTCCGCAAGAGACTTCTGCGATGCCGCCGCTAGTAATCTCTTCAGGGCATTGACCTCATTGACCTCTCTCAGTCCAATGAAGATTGGTGGGGCTGCTAGGCCACTGGGCAATGCCATATTGTCGTATCAGCAATTTGGCTTGTGATGGTATAAAAGAGAAACAGGTTTCTTTTCATCTAATATCAATAAATCTAAACCTTTTGCTGCAGGTGTTTACTTAGCGAGAAAAGGGAGTGAATCTAACCGGAAAGGGAGTGAATCTAACAATACCCTCGTCTGATTAACAGCTCGTATGTGCTAATTCAGTGTCACAGGCTCCCCCCTTTACAGTCAATCCCGTAAACAATACATAGATTGATGTCTGCTAATGGAGATCCACAAGTCGTACAACTTAACATGTTACACCGCTAGCACTTTGTCTAAGAAGCGATTGCGCAAGTCTAGTCAGCGTATAAAAAGTGCAATAAAAATGCAGCAATGTGATATTTCCTTCTGCGAGAATGTATCTGCCGCAATCTATTTGAACGCCATTCTTTAGGGCGATAAAGTACGGAGTATATCTTACACGAGTACAGCACGTTTCCGACTTTTAATCACATAATTCACATTTTTGACCAAGTATGAAGATTACCGATGACATGCCAATTGCTTCGGAGGCAGAGCACGCGCTCGACGCGTCCAATCGCGGCTACCGTTTGCTGCTCAAGATGGGATGGCGCACAGGCTCTGGATTGGGCAAGCAGGAGCAAGGTCGATCGCTGTACTTCACGCAGCAAGAATTAATGGATTCTGAAAATAAATAACTCTGCTGTTTTATATTTGGTTTCGCAGGCATCGTCGAGCCCGTGAAGATGAAGGAAAATTTAGTGTGTCTCGGGCTTGGAAAAGCGGTGAGTCCATCGTTTTTTTGTACCCATTTTTGATATTATTGTTATTATCGATTTTATAATTTATGCATTGGGTATCCATGTGTCCCTAGGAAGAGTACGACCATGTGACGCAGTTAGCAACAAGCGAGCGTCGAAAGCTGGAGTCCGAAGTGCTGGAAACGGCTGAACAAGTTGCGGTTCGCGAGTCGAAAAGTGCAAAAGACGAACAAGTAAAGGCAGACGTCAGGAATATGCAGGCAGCTTTTTACTGCTCAGACTGTCGAAAACAGTACAAGTCGGTGACGGAGATGGAAAACCACTTGAGTTCGTACGACCATCATCACACGAAGAGACTAAAGGAGTTGCAGCACCACAAACGACGAGTGGGGTCTGAGGGAGAGCAAAATGCCAAGCACGAGAAGCAACAAGTGAAGGAACGTTTGATGTTGCAACGAAGGATAGCTGCACAATCTCAGGCAGCGCGAGCTGACACGGAAAAGACTAAAGGACCAGCCGCTGATGTGAAATGCGACAGCGAAAAATGTGCGACTACAACGACAGGCGGTTTCGAATTTGGTCGAGGAATGAAAATAGGCATGAAGAAGAAGAAGGCGTTGGCTAAACGCAACGTCCCTTCGGCTTTTTCAAATCCTTTTTCGCAATAAACCATTTCACTGAATGAGGTAAAAAGGGCCCGGTCGCTGTGTGCGAACGTTTGAAGCAGGTTCTGGTTCGTGATGCTAGCGCAGCTTGGCTGCTACATTACTCTATTCCATTCTACGAAGAACGCCTAGCCAAGCTCATTTGTGTTTTCACTTCCATATTTCTATGGCACAGCGTCCACCTTTTGCTCATAGCGAACAGCTTAACCAGAGATCTAGTACGCTTCATACTTGCATAGCTCATGTTTCTTGGTGTATCTTAAGGCGACACAGGTGTCAATCCTGCCATTATGGCTTCAGCTACCAAAGAATTCCTATTTTAGCAATGCGTTCAGTGCGTGCAGTCAATGTAAAACCTAGACACTATTTCAAATGTAATGAAGGAGATGTCTGACTCTTTTCATGCTTTACACGTGTTTGCATTGTCTATCTTTCACATTTGTACCGATGGCTTGGTCCTCCAGACATAATTGCCCCAGTCTTGCGCTACTGACGAACGGATATCGTATATTTGGCGCTACAAGTACTGAACAAGATATCTTCAAATGCTTCTATCTATATAACTTGGTACTATGTGGCGATAGCATTGGGACTTCTCTGCAAGCCAGTTCAATCAACCGTAATCAAAAGACATTCACCCACTACGTTTGATTTGCTTTATCGACAAACGCAAGACAGACGCTGACATTTTGTCGAGTATGACACAGTTTAATGTTAGAACTCTGTTTCTCTACTATGCTCCTAACAGTACGAGACGTCTCTTGTTTCATTGAAGCCGCGGTAGATACGAACAGGCATATTTACAAAGCTATGACTGTATTGTACACTAGATTTGCCAAGATCAAAGCGCCACTGCGCTCGAAAATATCTTAGTCATTCAGCCGCCCTAATCTGCTTGGACCTGAGCATCTATATACCGCTTAGTCCCTATAGATGCGTTTATCAACGAACTCTGCTCCAACAACGATTTCTGACTCAGCTAAATGTCCATGTCTTCTTTTCATCTACGGGTGCAATGCTCAATGAAAAAGTATCTTTTGCGAATCGGAGAGCTTGAGTCCATCGTTTAAGATTTAAACTCATAACCAATTTATCGTTGACGCTCTCACGGTCTCAGTCCTCACTATTCCAATAATTTCTTGAATCCCATACAATATGCAGCTTGCATAACCCCTCGGTAAGCCACTCATTTGGTAGCAGCATTGTAGCGCTCGGAAAAGCACCTTGTTTCAAGAGTATCGTTAATTGACTTCAGCGTTTGCAAAAGACTGTCTGAGGGTGCGTTGATTGCAGCCAAACTCTACCACGTGCATTCGAGCCATGATATTCTAGCGTCAACGGTTCTTCGTCGGTTGCATTGACTTCATTTGTGGCAAGTTCATGGCTATTGCGACTATAACGCTCAACCTTTCATACTATACATCCCTGCCGAATACATCCCGTGAGGCTGTTGTTGTTATCTGCAGTAATCAGCAAGTATTTATTTGCCATATCGAGCCCAGTCAAAAGCTCAGCCAGACTCGAAAGTACAAAAGGCTGGAAGTACGAGATACATTCCACCCTTCTACGACACATACACTAATGCATTTGGTATGAATACAGTCTACCTCCAACAATCCATGACAGCAACAAGACCCTTGCGAAAAAGCGACGTCCACATCATCTCTCTTCTCTTTCATGCCATTGACGGTAATTTGAACATATCGTCTCTCACTTCTGCAAAACATCGTGTCCATCGTGCATCGCCTTTCGCTTTCTCGTCGACTCTCTCGATTAACTCTGCCGTTTAAAACTCGTACGATTCTTTTCGAATGTGTGGTGACGGTGCCACGCCACCCGGTGGATGGTGCTGCACAGGTGTCGAGGGTACTTGGTTACTGCCACCAACGCCAGGAGATGCCAAAGCAGAGGCACCAAATCCACTAGTAGTGCCAAAATTCTGAACTCCACCATACGGGCGTGTCATGCCAGTGCCCGGGGTAATTCCCACCGGCTGCGATGGAATCGCCCGCCCTGCGACGCGAGGCGATGGCGCAGCAGAGTTGTGTAGGGGCTGCTGATTATAGTAGCTGACTGCATTCATCGGGACGCCTTTGCTCGTATCCAATCCAATCTCAACTCCATTAGTCGCACTCATACCAGGCGGCCGTTGTTGACTGCCGTTGTAACTTGAGTATACGGCCGCTCCCGTCGTGCTCTGCGGCCCTTGCACCACTGGACCCTTGGAAAAGCCGCGCATCGTACTGGCCATATCGTCCTCGTCCTCGTCGTGTGCAGCGTTTGAGCGCCGCACGAGCGTCAAAAAGATAACAGCCACTGCAATGACACCGATAGCAGCCCCAATAATGGCAAACACGACGCTCATGTCCGACCCGGAGCCGTTCAAAGTTTCAACCGACGGTCCGGTGCTACCTGAAGTGCTGGATGCCGTGGGAACGGAGGAATTCCCAGCTACTCCGTTCAAGTCGGACGTCGGCTCTAATGACGTATCGACCGTCGTTGACGCCAACGACCCTGTGGGGCTCCCTCCATTAGCATCATCATCATGAGCTGAAGTAGCAGCATCAGCTTGAGCTTTGGCATCCGCATCCGCAGGAGTCGTCTTGTCTGCGTTCGTCGTGTCGCTGTTGGAGTCTGTACCAATGGACGACGTTTTGCTGCTGCCACTAGAAAGCAGCGCATCTCGAGCAGCCTCCTCCCAGGCCAGCGCACAGTCGACGCCGAATGGACACGCGCCCCCGATTTTGACGTAACAGCCCCGGTCTTCTAAGGTGATACAGGGGGGACAGCCACCGCTGGAGACGGTACAAGAAGTGGCGGAAACTCCGCCTTCGTAACAAGCGGAAACGGTCAAGCACTGCGAGGTACTGCCAGCCACGACGGCTTGACGCCCATTTGCAGCTGGCGTCACGGAAGCTGCTGCTCGAAAGAATAGGAATTACATCACATAGAGATGAACAGTCAGTCAGTCAGTCAGTCAGTCAGTCAGTCTGTCAGTAGTCAGCTCAAAGATTTAAATGGTTACTTTACAATGATAGACGGACCTCAATAGAGTGCAACGTACCGAATAGGGCTGCAATAGCGACAAGAAGCATTTTTTACGCCAGAAAAAAAACCCAGTCGTCTCGTTAACCTGGAGGCACCGATAGGGTACCGTAACCGTAACTTCTCCTGCTGCTGCTGTTACTTTTGCTGCTCCTGCCGACCTAAATGACCAATTCCAGACGTCCGGTCTTTGTTCTCTTTGCGGTCTCACGTCGCTCTCTTTCCTTTGAATGAACTTGTACCACGACGATCAGGAGCCGACAAGTTGCCGAGCTGTGGCTGCCGATAGAAGTGGTGGGCGGCAGTTAGGACACTGGAGTAAAGTCCAGCGCAATAGCCTCTCTCCCCTTGTCGCGCGTTGTGCTGGCTCGAATTGAGGCGTTTTGATTGGCTAATGCGTGACTCGTACCACAACTTGGGTTTCTGTAAGTTTTTTCCTCCCCTACCCCTCATCGACTCAATAAACTACTAAATACGTGTTTGTACCCATGGCCACTACGTGTATGACAAGAAAAGGTCAAGATACCTAGTTCTTTCGACCGGTCAGACCAGGATTTGCGCTTCCTGCTAATGCAACAATTTACATGCAAAGTTCGCCAGGAAGTTACGCGCCATAGGGAGGTATAGACGGTGTACTTGTACACGAATGTGTACGCATTACAGCCGCGTCCTGTACCGATTCTAGCGCCTGACAGCCAATCATCATGGGTCTTGGAGATGATGTCTACATAAACGATGCGAAACTGGCTCGCCACCCTGAAGTAACAGCCAAGAGTCGCAATCTGAATAACGGATGGCGTGAGCACGTAACCTAACATCGAAGCGGTCGGCACGTAGACTGTTACTTGAACAGAGAGCGTGAAACTCACGTCGACCAATTTGAAACATTAGCTCATCGCTTACTATGTGCTTCATATTTAGGCTGCATGTACTCCTCCTTGATGTTGCATCCCCTTCTGCTTCGAACTGTTCATGAACAAAAGACTGGAAATGGCCATAATAACTCGACACACTTCTTGTCCCTCGAAGCATTCATTACGCTCGACGCGTTTTGTATCTACACGCGATAGTCGTTCCCATGCTGTAAGTATAGAGACTCGTTTGTCCATCCGGCCGCAAAATCTCTTGCTATGCGTGAGACCATGACATCAATCTCGTGCTAAGTGGACCTTGCTCGCCTCCGTCATTAAGCTAGTTGACAATATCACGTCCTCATAGTCGGCATCTTCACGAACGCACAACCTTTTTCCTCGACTAAGCAATGCATAGTGCAACTGCAAAAAGTAGCGACCACCAACAGCGGCAAGGGCGACTAGTTGTCATGAACCTCATTGAAATGGGCGTCTCCCACATATCTTAGACCATGCCTCCAGATGGTACGTTGCTGTAATTATATGCACTCGAGTCTGCACATTTGCTCTTGTCCCAACCGGGCTGCACACCACCGCCTTGTACACGATCATAGTCCTCTTCGTCTTCCAAATGAGCAGCAAACAGTGCCGCTCCTACTGCGTTTGTAAAGACGAACACCGAGCCAATGACAGGCATCATCTCCAAAAGCAGCGCTTGCATACCAAACGACGAGTACTGGACCTTGTGTTTCTCGATAAAAGCTCGCTGCTCTTCGTAGGACAAGTGCTTGAATTCAAAGTAGAGGAGATGGTACTCCCAAGCCAAGATCGTGCCGTTTTTCCAAGCATAAATGACTGAGCCAACAATCGGCAGCATATTCAGTGGTAGCGTAGCAACGAGCAACGTAAGGCGTCTCCAGACACTAACGCGACAACAAGAGCGACAGGACCAAGCCCATCCTGCGTGTTGAGACGTGTTTTCGACCAAGTCCTTGTAGCCACGGGCGACCATCACCTGCTCAAAGATCTTGTCCTGATAATGGCCCATGACGAGTAATTTGTAGGCAAAAGTAACGATTAAAATCTCCACGAGCACGAGCGTGACGGCCAAGAGCCACGAGAGCCACAGGGGCACGCCTGCGTCTTCCAGACTGTCGGCTTGAGGACGAAGAGCTACGCTAAGGAGCACGACGATGGCGGCGATTGCCACGAGGAGCGTGGAGAGAAAAGGACAGAGCGCTGTTCGCCATAGAGCGGGGTGGGAGAGGAAGTGGGTCAAGCCCTGGACGACGTACGTGGACATGGCTGCAGATACACGAGAGAGAGAGGAGGTGAAGGAGATACTGCAAAAGAGACTTGCTGCGAGCTGTGAATGGCTGTTTTGGCTCGATTATTCGAGCCAGCGGTTGATCGATCGTTCGACTGCGATTTGCGATGCGTTTTAGTGGGTTGAGTTGTTCGATGAGGACATGCCACACTGCTGCTAAAAAGTGTTTTTCTTTTCATGCATGCTCTCAGTACTGAGAATGGCGATTCTTGTCGTGTGTTTGACAGATGGATAACCCATTCGATTTGGTCAATTAATCAGGACTAGTTGCTGCCTCTCAAACGTAGACACTACATTGGTCCAGTTTTAACCAAGCGACCCAGTTTACCGAAAATATAATACCACCTTTTCGCCCGTACCATCCTCCTCCTCACCTATCGTCATTCCCTCGTCTTTATCCGCTTTACCGACCCATCACAACTCCAAAACCCGCCGCGCCCTCTCCGTAATCCGGGTTTAAACTCATTCCCATAATGTCGACGTATCCGTTACGTGGGATCCTCTTCTTCCTACGGGACCGGCACCTGTGGCGATTGACCATCTACCCCCTTCTCCTCACAGCAGCCGTGGCGCTCGGAGTCTCAATCACGCTCTTCACCTTCACGGTGCACTGGCAAGAAGAGAAATTACGCGAACTTGGCCTCTCCAGCTTCTTCGCGGGGCTCGTCGCGCTCCTTTTCGTCCTCATTGAAGTCTTTATCGTCACTATCGTCTACGGCCTCGTGACGCTCGAGTGGTTCAAAGACAAGATCTTCGCCCACGTCTTGACTCAATGCGGCCATCGGGAGCTCGTGGACAACGAGGAGCGCCACTCGCCCTTTCTTCGCGTCATGACGTCGTGCTGTCGAGTCAGTGTGCTCCTTCGGCTGGGGCTCTTGGTGGTCACGTTGCCGCTGAACATGATCCCCGTGCTGGGCAACCTCACGTACGCGTGGCTCAATGGCACGCTCTTGGCCTGGGAAGCGCATTTGTACTACTTTGAGATGAAAGCGTTCGGCTTTCACCAGCAGAAAGCGGTCATCGCCCAGCGCAGACTCCAATATTCAGCTTTTGGCATGCAAGCCATGCTGCTGGAGATGATCCCGGTTGCTGGCGCGGTCTTCATGTTCACGAATGCAGCAGGCGCGGCTCTGTTTGCTGCTAGTATTGAGAAGGACTTGGGGAAACAAGTCAGTCGTGTTGCTAGTAAGTGGCACAGAAGTGGCAAGGACAAGGCGGTCAAGAAGAGTCATGTGGAGACCGAGGAGATGGACAAGGTGCCGCTTGTCAACAAGCCTGGCGCGTACGTGCCGCCTTATGGCACTACTACAAAGTAAAGGACAAGAGGGAGGTTTGGCTTCGAAGAGGTTTGAAGTAGCGGAGCACGTGTGTTGACGAGTGCTTATGTGTGGATCACCGCACGAATGACAAGATGCTGATTAAATCCGCCATGGCGTTTGGGTGACAGGTAGTAGACGCTCAGGAAACGTCATTCGAGAAGATGATCAATGCCTTTGTGAAGGTATAGCGTGTGCATCACCAAAGCTGTGACGACTCTGATGCGCGATGTGTCTCGACTGATTGCTGCTAGAGTCGTCGGGATTGTAAGGTTACCAATCAATCGCACATCATGAGTCAGACCTTGGTCGTGACGAATCCGAGCCACGAAGGGGATTCTGGAAAGATTTACGTTTACGAGGTGATACCTACCACTAATAGTCTCAACTGTTATCGGAGCAACAGCCACCTGCTGTTCTGCAGCTCAACTCGAGCCACCCTGTGTTTGTCGGGTGCCCTTAGAGCAACAGCTGCGTCCTACGACCTACGAAATTGTACATTTGGTGGTAGGTGTGGCTGCACTGTCTTACGGGCCGAACGAGACAAGGAGCGCTACAACACGACACCGTTTTGTATCATGCTGACTTGACCAGGTACGCCGCTGCCTGCCTCGTATGCATCGCCTGTTGTCTATCATCAACCATACTTCCTTGTCTACGTCTTCAACTACAGGCGCGCCAACCGCTTAGCTGAACGGCTGATAACGTCGCTAGGTAACGTCTGGCCATCGGAGCTGCAACCGACAGTGGGCAGTTTTATACCTGCCTCGCAACGTTTGGGTTCAGAAGCGCATTTCATTGACTCTGAGCTGCGTCATGCGCTACGACGGATCTCTATTTCGGTTACATTGTCCCTTATCAAAGAAGGAGCGGTTCGTGAACGTTAAGACAGGCGGTGCAGCTGGCATTCTGTGACGGGTAGACCCGACTCTACTCCGCAGATGTCAAAAGTATCGATCAATCTCGATCTTGATTGACCTACAAACTTTACAAACTCTGGGATCCCATCTCGTTATACAACCCACTTTTAGAACAACTGATTTGCACTGACCAATCAACGGCCAGAGACAAATAGCTCCCTATCAAATATAGTCCTACCTAGATAGGTTTACTTAGTCCTGCGACGAATCCCGGCCAAATTCCAGCGCGCACTGCCTGCCTCCATTACAACCTCGCAGTGTCACATCCAGCAGCACCTTATGTCGCTAATTGACCAGTGCTAAAATCCAGTCCAGTACTGCGCTTAACACGTCACGTGCGACACGACGTGAATTCTTTTTTGGCGTCTTGCATCGCACGCTCGGATTGGCTAGATGGAATTTCCGCCAATGAGTGGCGCTCAAAACGCGGCAGCTGCTCTTTTCCGCTCAGAAGGATCCTGAACCCAAGCGACTTTGTAACGAAGCGTTGAAGCGCAGAGCCAATGTATCGCCAGTTTGGAATTCCCCTCGATCCACTTAAGCACGAACGAAGATGGCGATTACCTGCGGCGACATTCCCCGTCTGATTTGCTCGGTCATTATCCCGCCCGTCGGTGTGTTCTTCCAGGTTGGCTGCACGAGAGACTTGGCCATCAACTGTTTGCTCACTCTCCTTGGGTAAGCGCTTCTTCACTGCTCTCCCCCATCGCTTCGGACTGTTGATCTAATGTGACTGGCTGTGTTGATTCTTCTCCAAATAGCTATATTCCTGGCGTCATCCACGCCGTGTATATCTTGATCAAGGAATAGGGGAACGAACCGATCGATGCGACAAGCAGACAGGGTCTAGTAGTCGACGCGAACAAGTCGACTAAGTGCGAGTGTCGGGGATCATGTGTCTGCTGCTCACAGGCCGATGCGACTCTCGTTAGTGATATGCTATGACAAGAAGGGGTGAGACGAACATGTACCCGTTGGAGTATCTCTGTCTCCTGATTCGTGGATATTCCTGCACTTTGCGTAGACTTCAGGTTAATACAATTGGTCGATAGGACGCGATTCTTTTTCTACATTTGGTCATCCGCCAGTTGGCAAAGTTACTTAACGCCTACTTCCCATCATTCGGGATTGTGTTTACCTCACAATTGAAGATTGAAGTGGAGAGGGTACGACTCTTGGCATCGCAGCGTCATGGGGCACGTTGTGGACGAGGTTGACCACTGGTTTGAAGGCGACGAGGGGCGCTCGTCTTCGAGTGTGTCGGACTTTGACTGGGACAAAACAGCGCGTTTGATTTGCGCCGTGTTGCTGCCACCGCTTGGGGTGTTTCTACAAAAGGGCTGCAATAAGGATCTGGCCATCAACGGGCTCTTGACGCTTTTTGGGTACATTTTTATTTCTGCGCGTTCTAAAAAGGGAAATAATTCATTTACGAAACAAGTCACTGACAAAATGTGCACGACAAATGCTTGTGCGAACAGCTATATTCCTGGTATCATCCACGCTGTCTATGTGATCTGCGTGAGCTAATGGCAATGGATCAGAAGCGACTCGCACTTGTAGCAATGATGATCCAAGCACGGCAAAGGGACACAACGCGATCGAGAATCAGAAATCAACGTAAAAAAGAGTATTCAGATATTCCAAGAGCCATTTTAAAAACCGCAAAGACAAGTCGCGAGCTTTTTCTTGACTTCGTGGATGATCAGCTCAGCGCGGAGACTGATTTCATCCCACATACTCAGTACCGATGCAAGGCCAATGGTAGACGCCACGGCAAACACTTTTTCAGCATCATCTGGAGATAACTTTGAGGCGCAGAGCAGTAAAGAACCGCCTCCTGAGGCATTCACGTCTCGCAATAAATGCTTTGTCAACTCGTTCATATCGATGTGATGGTGGTGACGAAGCATTGCGCCATCCACTGTCGACGTAGGGCACGACAAACGAAACGCAACTATCGTAGGTTGATCGGGTATGAGAAGCGTTTCAAAGCGGTGATCGGCTTGGAGTTTTGCCAGACATTGAGCACGTGTCTGTTTGTTCTCATTCTCCATCTCATCCAGCGATCGTGAAAAGCACAATTCAAGGTGTTCACCAGCTTGCTTCTTATCAAAGCGATCACTGACACCATTGCAGCCGATCACAACAAATTGGGTCTTCGGCGTTGAGTGCCACACCCCAGTGTTTACAACGTCCAGTCGTTGCTTCCCACTTATCTGCAAAACGAACCGATATTGTGGCAGTTCGGCTATGTACATGACTCCTTTGGCACGCAGCATTCCCTTTGGTCGATGCTGCTGAAGCCAGTTGTGCACTGCTGCAAGTGGAATCGGTACCAGACTCTCGAACACCACCGACTCGAACGACATCCTCTGCGTACCCACTGCGTCATCGTTTTTGCTCGCCAAGTCCGATGGCCGTTCCACGCGTAGTCGACGACTGCCTGCAGTGCCCGTACCGTTCAAAGCCTCACCAGTCTTCAAGTTCCATTGCACTGGAACATTTTCATGGCTCACACTTCCATTAAACGCTATTTCCGGCACTTCAATATCCAGCACATGTGGCAAGAACACTCGAGCGTACGTGGTCTCGTACACCTGCGCGTTTGGAGCGTACAGTGCAACAACTTGTCGAGCTGCCTCCAGGTTCGCTTCATCGAGTAAATCCACTTTATTCAGCAGCACGACGTCAGCGCATTGCAGCTGCTGAATAGCCACAGCACATGGCTGGACGCCTTTTCCTGCATCTTGAGCGACTGCATCTCCATCCACGACCACGACCACGGAATCCAGACGCGCACGTGTCATTTTGCCAAATTTCTCTCGCACGGCTGCAATTAACTGCGTCGGGTCGGTCGTGCCACTAGTTTCCATGACGAGGTAGTCAACATGACTCAAATCGCCAGCCTTGTCATGATTGTCACTATTATGGGCACCATTATTGTCGCCCATACGAGGATGGGCACTAGCAATAATGTTACCATTGTCGTCGTTCAACAGTTGCCACACAACGTCTTTCAGCGCAGTTACCGTCCGATTACCGGTATCAGCTGTCAGTTGAAACAGTTTGTTGCAGCGGCCCGTTTGTTTATTAGCCACTAATAACGCGTCAACGTTAACAGCCGCCAAGTCACTGACGGCACAAGCCACGCGAAGGTTCAGTTTGTGCTGCAGAATGTGCTGCAGCAACGACGTCTTGCCGGCGCCGAGAAAACCAGTGACGATGGTCACGGGCAGCCGACGGCGCTGGTCGTTGCGCGCGAGCAGCTGGCGCTCAGCACGGAGGCAGAGATTCACGCGGGCCGCAGCAAGCTCGAGCTCGGCTGGTGTGGGCATGGCTCAATGTAATTGGTCAGAAATAACTGCATTTGCATTGGATCTGGAAACGTTCTAGAGTTTCTAGATTGATGTTACACGTTGAAGCAATAAAACGACGTGGTAATAAGTCGCGCCGCGTCTCAGACGGCAGAAGTCTCCATCTGTTAGTGATCGATCCAACGGTCGATTCACTCGAGCCAGAGACTGCGTTTCTCCTTCGCCACCCACTTGCTAAATTCTTTGATCACGAGAACGAGTTATGGCCATCACGTGGGGAGACTGTCCGCGTCTAATCTGCTCGATTCTGCTGCCGCCACTCGGTGTCTTCTTCCAAGTTGGCTGCAACAAGGACTTTGCCATAAACTGTCTGCTCACGTTGCTTGGGTACGATATTACTGTTGCAAAGTGGTTGATTGCCGTATCGTGACTCTCGTGTTCCTGGTATAGGTACATTCCTGGCATTATCCACGCCGTCTACATAATTGTCAAGGAATAGGGCAACATGGACGATGACAGAGGGTCTCAGGGAACTGCGTCGCGAAGAGGCTCTGCACTTGAAGTAGCACGTAGCAAGCAGCCCGTCGTGTAAAGAAAATCCACCAAAATCCAGACTCTTGTCGCATTTGCAATCCTTTCATCTTTCATAGTCGTTCTCATTCCACTTAAGTATACTCCACACCCAACTGACACATCCCTCGATAAGTACACGTCACTGTCCAACTGTCCACTTGGATACCTAATCAAATAGATCTCACCTGCGATCTTGATACTTATCCAGGTAGAAGCAGCACAACGCAATTGGATCCCTCGCTGCGACCTCATTTATGGACGACGACGACCCCACCGTATCCGGTGGCTACATGCTGCTCATCTCCTTGGGCGTGACAGTCGTCATGCAATGCAGCTTCTTTGTCGTAGCTTACCTGTGTCAATTCGACAAGCTCACGGACTTGGCAGGTTCCCTCAACTTTATCGTCCTGGCCATCCTGTCCCTCTTCGTCCAAAGCGAGTTCAAGACGCGCGCGATCGTCGTCACCTGCATGCAAGTGGCGTGGGCCATCCGTCTTGGCTCGTTTCTGCTCCTTCGCGTGCTCAAACGGGGCAAAGACGACCGCTTCGACGAGATGCGCGCCAATTGTGCAGCCTTCTTTGGGTTTTGGGTCTTCCAGATTCTTTGGGTCTTTTTCGTATCCCTTCCAGTCCTACTAGCCAACTCTAGCAGAACCCAAGAGATGAACGGATTCGGGGAAGCTCGAGACGTTTGTGGTCTGGTGCTTTGGGCTATTGGGATGGCAGTGGAATACGCCGCTGATGCGTCGAAATCGGCTTTCCACGACGATCCAAAGAACAAGGGCAAGTTGCTGCGCTCGAGTGTGTGGAAGTATTCGCGTCATCCGAATTACTTTGGCGAGATGCTGTGCTGGGTGGGGATGACGATCATCTGCAGTGCCAACTTTAGCAGTAGCGACAATGAGACGTGGTTCTTCTATGTCAGCTGCATCAGTCCCGTCTTTACGTTCCTAGTGCTCATGTTCCTCTCGGGCGTGCCATTGGCTGAAGACCGCAACGACGAGCGCTTCGGCTTGAACGCAACCTACCTCAAGTACAAGCACTCGACCAGCCCCGTGATCATGCTGCCGCCTTCGGTCTACGCTCCCCTGCCACTGCCGATTAAGCGCTGGTGTCTGTTTGAACTGGACATGTACTCGCGCAAACTACGAGAGCTGCGCGAGAAGCAGCAATCGTCGCCTACTGATTACCACGCGATTTCTGACTAGCACGCTCGAGGATGAGGCAGGCGAGGCGTTGGAGGAGCAAAACTGATGCGGAGTGATTGAATCAATTGAACTGACACGGACACCGCGGCAGAGTTTTTATATTCCGAATACCAAACACTTCGGGAAAGAATCGCGGTGGAAAAACTTAGTCCCGTTACGTAGGGAAGAGTTCAATCTATCTTCTGCTTTGAGCACAAACATGACAACTCCTGACTGTCGATACTAGTTTAATACTTAGCAAGCGTTGGTTCCATCAACTTTCCGTTCGCTTTACACACGAAATCGTGCGACCTTCTGGTACAGCAGACTTACGAATGCAATACCAATGCAACGATTCGCTGCTAATACGAGGTCATGTTGCTAGCATACTTGGCAGCGTATAGATTTTCCTTAAATAGCTACAGATGTAGTAGATAGCATGCAAAGTGGTGCAAATGTGATACATGTAAGTGTGCTTCTCGCAGGTGCAGAATCGGTGTATGCAGAATTATTCCTTTCCGCAACCACGCTCAGCACGCACTACACACATGAACGTTCTTATAATTACAATAACATTCTTACTCGCAACAAACCTCTTCAAACAAGTCAAACAAGCTTTGCATCCATCGGACGACGAGGCTTTACCTCACCGCGCGGTTATGTAACATCTTTCAGTTGGCAAGTTACAGCGATACGCACATCAACGACAATGGAACGTAAATTATAAAATTTTACTGGCTCGTTGCGCATTTTAGACTACGTAAAAGTACGCTACAAATTGTCAGCGATGATGCTTTTTGCCACATCATTCTACTTTCTGGAATACATCGAACGAGGAACTGGAATCACATGGAAAGTCGATGTTGTTAAACCTTCACGACCCTATCTGCGTGGGCACAACCGTAGTGTACCGATTCACTCGTCCGAAGTTGTATTTGAAACTCTTCTAGAATCTCAGCTCATGCGGCTCCGGCTGGGTACCCACTTTATTCACTCCGGTTCGACCAAGAAGCTCCAACCCGACATGCGATTTCAAACAAGCCGATAAGCTCTCCGATCTTGCCTCCACTTACTCTCCGCTTCCTTCGTAGCCCTTTAGAGATCTGTTTTGTACCTCAACAAAGTCTACTACTCACCCTTCGCCTCCTGAATCCACATCGAGTCAACTTGCCATCGCCATCTCCAGACCAGACGGAAAGATAGGAAAGCTACTAATTGCTTCGATGTGGCGAAGCAATTGACAATAATAATGACCGAGATCTCGGTCTAAGTAGCCGAGGACTCGCACACCGCTGTAAGTTGTTTAATTTTGCAGATGTTGCAGACCCGTCACGCTCGTTACAATCGACTGCAATATGCAGACGGAAGCGGTGGTATCGCCGCCTGATTGTCGAGTACGTATTTGCTCGATTTGAACTGTCGTTTAGTGGAAGAGACTAGACTATGATTTGATCAACAAAATTTAGAAATGATGGTACACAACAACACTAGCAGCAAGTGTACACTCGCTCCTCTCCTCTAGCCCGCCCTGTCGTACCTGTCCTTGAACATTGGTGATACTAAAGGTCCTAAAAGTAAAATCGCGTACACCTTGCATGGACATGACCATTAGAACTCGGGCATGAAAATGACTGCTGGTATCAAGAAAGGGGCTTCAGACAGCTGATCCTATTGTAACGAGTCACTTTATTAGCAGTCTAAAGATAGGTAAATCTCGGGGTAGGCTTCCTGTTGTGGTCTGCGTATCTATACTTGGTGGGGTGGTAGTGACGCTTTTATCGTTTGCTATGGTCAACTTGTTCAATAGTTAAATAGATCGTCAAATGCAAATGATCACAACCAAAATTCGAAATGTTCTCGAAATCTCCAGTTGGATATCAGGATCTCCGTCCACTGATCTCACAACTTGTCAGAGGAACAATATTTGTCGGAATACGAAGCAGTGGAAAGCACGACAGAAGAACAAATTCGCCCGGTGCACAATCATAAAGCTAGCAAAAATCCGGATCTGAAAACAGACTAGTCTGCGTGTCTGTCTAGTTACCATCCGTCACGTCGGTGACTTCTACGAGACCAGACATTGACTACTTGAAGCACAATGCTGATGCAAACATGGCTGATGCACCAAAGGTAGCAACCACCGGACAGAGAATGGTAGTTTTTACGATGTCATCGCTTCGGAATGACGTCGTAGAAACTGCATATGTACATCGGCAGCAAATGTGTGGTCAAGCCTACCACTTGTTTGGTATCATTAGCAATCTGATTACGTGTTCAGGCGACGGAAGCAGTGACGGATTATCCGGATGAAAGAAACTACACGACGTTAGATAATTGAATGACTGATAAATCGATCGTAACCTATGAAGCTGAGGTCGCTTTAGCATAATGAGCTCAGGTCCGGTCCCCGCTGCATGCTTCAGCTGTGTTGAGTAGATCTGATACGCAAGACATAGTAAAGTTTATCACCGCTGACCTAAAGTAGCGACGCTGTCTCAAAAGATTCTACAACTGTGAGAATACGCGGATCCATGAGATCCACCACCTAATTTCTGTCGCTTGAACAGAAATGTGGTTAGTGTTTACCATACGGTTGCTGCCAGGATCCATATTCGCGTACGAGCAAACGTCTACCGAAAAACCAGAAACCATGCTGAGCTAACTCTGAGCTTTCGACAAGGTTCTCTTGCTCATCATATCGTCAGACAGTCATCGCGACGTCGCTGTAACTAAGATCTTAAAAAAGGTGACAGAAACGTAATCGCACATTTCACCCTGCCGGAGGCAAATGACTTCTCCATGCTGGCAAGTATTTTTGACATACAACAATCCACTTGATGAAGTAGAGCAAGTAGGCAGCAGTAGTACACAAGAAAACCCGTTCGAAAACCCGCCATCACGTTTTTTTGCGGTGATGCAGGAGGTACGCCCTCAACAAACTGCTCATAAAGTATCCGGCTGATGTTGCACTTGTGAAACATTCGTTGCAGTCGTGCCAAGCTGCCAGGAAGAACAGTGGGTCGGCGCAAGCAACAACAAGGGATCATTCGAATAGCAACGTACGTGTCGCATTCTAGTGGGTTTAGTTAGGCAGCGCTCTAATACCACATAAAATCGTGTTTTTCACAAATCGAAGGGATTCAACACGTGACATTGAAGATGACGCACCATAACCTGATTGAAAGCTGTAGGCTGTAGTACCTGAGGAGCTACCGCCAAGCATGCCATTAAGGTCGGCACAAGTGCCTTTAATGAAGTAAACAAAATCATTGAAGTTCTCTAAAGTATACTGAAATAGCAATCGAGAAAAGCAAGCAATCGTTTGATCTAAAAATAAACTGATAAGCGAACAGTATGCATAAAACTATAGAAACGTCATTTCTAAAGAGAAGAGCGTCGTCGCATTAGGCTGCAGCCACCACCAACTGCCACAACCCCACAACACTCGAATCCAACAGCTCAGACGACGTCCACGCCCAGATGGTAAAAAAAAAGACCGTCTTTCCGCCATCTTCCCTCTCCGTGAGCCAGCGCCTGCGTCGATTGTCCCTCGAATCACACAAATGCAAGCGTGACGTAATGGTAAGGAAAAAAAAGATCAAGTTCATTGACGCAAGGCGAGAACAAGAGCAGCAGCGACACTCTGTTTCTGTCGACGGCGTGCCGCGGGATCGTCCTCCTAATATTACATCCACTGCCGTCCGTCTCTGTCCCCAGCCCACCGGCTCTCTGGCTCAGCTCAGTATCCAGCCAACACCAAAAAAAAGAGTCAGCGTCCACGTCGTCCGCACCACGTGCCGGTTTCCCATCAGCCAATCACAGCTCAGTCCATCCATCGTCCTCATCAACTCGACCGCAAGATGCCACTCGACAGGAATATGCCACTTGACGGAAATATGCCACTCGACAGGTTACAGCTTCTCCAGCTTGCTAAACACGCCGCCGCCGGGGTTGCGCCGCGCCAGCTCCCGACGATCGGCCGCCCGAAAGTCAAACGTGCACCGGTGCTGGTCCTCGAACCGGTGGCTGCTGCAAAAGACGTAGCCGCAGCGACAGTCCATGGCCGTGAGCCCCACCTTCTTCTTGCACTCCCAGCAGCGCTTTTTGTTCTTCTGTACAAACTGCGACGAGGCAGTCGACGATGAAGTAGCGCTAAGCGTCGCCTCGTGCTCGTCCTGCAGCTCGGATGGAGCCTCTGCTGCGCAGTGGCTGCTGCTGCTGGAAGCCAAAGGCGGCGAGGATGGCGTCGCACTTGGCGCGGTGGAGCGGGGCGACACCACGGACGTCGCGGCCTGGCGGTCGGACATGGTCTTTTTCCAGCAGACGGAGCACATGCCGCCGCTGCCGGGCGCGCCGAAGAAGCCGCAGCCGTTGAGACACAACTCGGCACTCTCTCGCTCTTGCTGCATGGTGGAGAGAAAGTAGTAGCAATTGAAGGAACTGAAGTAACAAACGACCCGGCGGATGAGAGCGGAAGGTAGTGGCGACCGCGCTCTATTTGAAGCCTGTGCTGGCTCTCGATCGCTTGTGCCTCCCGCGGGGAAAAACGACAAATGCGCTGCGAGTGGCACCTCTCGTTTTTCTCCCCCTCTCTTCTGGAATTCCCTCGTTTTTCTCCCCCTCTCTTCTGGAATTCCCTCGTTTTTCTCCCCCTCTCTTCTGGAATTCCCTCGTTTTCTCACTCTCTCGACCTCGACCTCGACCTTTCTACGTGAGGACCCAAAATAAAGATGGCGGTTTTCTAAACGAGGTGCCCAAAATAAGCAGACGTTCAGCGTTGTTTGCGCCGCGGCGCGAAGAGAACTGGATTCTGAGAACAGGAGGCAGTGATTGGATGATAGTCGGACTGCCTCTTGTGTTTTTTTTGCTCGAACGAGACCGAAACAACACGCGACGCCTTACTATTGGTGCATTACAAGCCCGAATACTTCTGCTTATGGTTCAATTAGTAAAACAGAACACAGCACGGGAAATCAAAAATGGGTCGGGGCAAGTCGCTACGACAGCGACTCGAATAGCCGCAAAATGAGCACAGATCACAGCTTGACTTTATTTTGCCTACAGCCGTAAAACGGCGAAATCCAATTACACACAACCTAGAGAAAAACGCTCTGAAATCTCCTATTTTTACCTCTTTTTTGGGTTGCGCAATGTGGGTGGACGCCACATACATTCTCTCGCCCGAGTTAATGTTCCCGGAGAAATGACTGGCTGCAGCTAAGCCTTCAGTCAACGAACTGATTGTGCGAACAGTGTTGCTTGTCGCTCCGGATCACAGATGCTGACGTAATACACATTCATCCAATCGATTTAACTGGCAACTTTAAAGTGCACTGCTAAGTAACGGGACGAGAGGCGGCCACCCGAGTGCACTGAATCTCCCCTGTCGCGCAACGGATTGCGCCAGCTTCTGCCATAGAGTCAGTGGTGCTAACCAGCCTGTAGAGATCGGGAATCTGAGGCTGTCGCTTGCACATCGAGCAGTCGTCAGACTCAGACTGAATGTCGTCAGTTCACTACAATGAGTACACTAACGACTGTGCTTGATTTAGACGGGCCTAATGTCGTGCATACAAGCGCCTCGTGATCCTGTCGTCGTTGCTTCCTTCGTCTTTGTGCAATGCACAAACCTGCACGCAAGATCTGTAGTAACTTACATTTGTAGATTGAGGAGGTACAACGAGACGCTCTTGCCCTCACTACCGCGTCCACTATAGCATCTCCGCACAACGATCTTATGGACCGTTTGTTGCAGACTCACGTCGTTTTCCAGACAGACTCGAGTCATTTCAAGTTGCAGAGTTTGGACTATCACTATGCAATAGAAGTCGAATGTTAGCAGCTCATTCCTGAGAGGATCACAGGACCGTCACGTGCGCTGACATCAGCATCGTAATCAGGATGGTAGGAAGCACGCTTAACGGCTCCTTGTGTTTATAATTAGACAGTGCACAACTTTTAGACTCTTCGTAGATGACCGTGTTGAGGACAACGTCACGTTGTGTCTTTTGAAAGCTCTGACGAGCTGCTGACAAGAAGATGTGTAGCATATGCGGAGACTGACGGCCCTTTGCAACAAGGACATGTTGACGCTATGAGCACATTAGGCGCGATACCAGCTGATTACAACCCTCGTCCTTCAAACTTTGAGCTGATTGATTACTAGACCGTTGCGGTCGCGACGTCGATCGATTGAAATGTTATCTGCATGTCTTTAGCATTTGCAGTAGCCATGCGTGACTTGCCTAGAGTGGTAGTGATCCAGAGTGGACTGAACATCTACAATACGTTGGGCATGCGCAACGAAGTTCTTTGTGCTGATGGCAAGCGAGACGGGTAGCTGCGCTTCTGCTTATCAGATACTGACGCTCCATGATGTTCGCATTTCTTCTGCCCGCAGTATACGTCAACGGATCGACAGGAGTCCGTGCGAATGCAAGTGGCGAACCCACATGTGACGACAGAATTAAAAACAACCAGGTACTTGGGATCAGCATGCACCAACGAGCTGAACCGAGCGCTGCAATCAACAAGTGAAGCTCGCAACGGTGTGAAACATCCTGCTCCCACAGCACTAGAATGCTGCAGCTCCCGAGCACTCAGTTCCAGTGCGGACTCCAAGCTACAACAGTTGCAATGACTAATAAGTGTTGCTTCGTTTCAATCGTCTACGAGACAAGTCTAGTCGACATGATGGACAAGCCATGTCCGTGTGCATCCTCCTGTTGCTAGTCCGCCCTTCATTCGCGTCCTGACTGCGCAGTACGCGTGATGATAAATCAGGAGCTACACGAGTCGACTGTTGCTGCAGAACTGCGTTCCACTGAACTCATGCAGTCGAATGATGAGCGATCAACGCATCACGAGCGACCAAAGAGACGCAACAAGTCGCAACGTGGCTGTACGAACGATATCCTTGAGACGAATCCATTCAAACAGGTGCAAGTCCTTTGCCTTCAGGAAGGAACGTTCCCGTCTCAAGGCATGAAGTCGCCTCGAGTGTTCCCGAATTCGACGATCAGAGCTGGAAAAAGAGCAGTCCAGATCATCGCATACGTTGGGATCGAGATCACGAAGACGACGCCATTTTCGCGCTTGTTCTGTGCTCGTGCACCGATCCCTCATACCCAGAACCGGAACTGGACCAGCTGGGCGGTCCCAGTACTACTTCGTAGTTCCATATTGTTGGGAGATGATGTTAGGTGTGACATAGCACTGCTCGCCGGTATACAGCCGGTAAGTACGTGCGACGAGTTCAGCTATCGGAGACTTTGCCCACGCTATCGCGTCTTCTGCCCTATTCAGAGCAGTTCTTTATTTGCAAGGAGAGACGTGAACAACAACAGCAGTTAACAACAACAACCACATTAACTGCAGTGGCGGTTGAAAGGGTACGAAATAGAGGGAACTCAGGTTATCAACCACCTTTACGGGAAAACTAGCGTCTTACTAGAGAACCATGTCTATTGTTGCAGTGTGGTCAGATTCTAGTGCAGGTTTCCCGATCCAGGGCTCGAAGTGAACAATGGACGAGCAAACGTGTTCCTTTGTCGAGTTCAAGGATGGCGACGTCACGCCTTTGAGCAAAAGAAGCCTGCGACCCGCTTACAACAGCCGCTTGTCATGCAGCAAACAGAGCATCAGTGTCGGCACTAGCCAAAGTCACGCTCGTAGTCGCGTGCTGTCGCACAATACTGAAATGTACACGGCCAAGGACGCGAACGAGTCCATTTTGCACGCCAATGCTCCGCCGAATTACACTGGTGGTTTCAATGGTAAAGTCCTGCTTAACCAGCGTGTTTTTTCATTCGGTTTGGTCACCTAATATGGTCAACTGGTGTTCGTTCACGTGTGTAGAAATCATGAAGCAGATCAAAGCCAAGAATTACTACACGGAGCAGTTCCAGCGCATTCAGCAGCAGACGAACATGAGTCACTTGTTATATTTCTCGAATGTGGCGCCATCTTTCTACGAGACCAATTACTTGACAGTGGCTCAAGATACGTCCGTGTATCGAGTCCGTGCTTGTTTCCTCATTAGTTTCGTCGGCCTCATGATTCTCTATCTGAACGAGTGGCGAGATGACAAATGGTCTAAGCTGGAAACAAACGGACGGTCGGATAATGATGAAATAGCGATCCTGGCCATGACGTTTGGCGTCATGTTGCCATCGTTGCTGCTCGGAATGTTTGCTACCTTCACGAGTATTGGACGGAAGTACTTGGAAAACGTGACTGCTGCAGTGTTCATTATTGTTGCGGCTATGATGATTGCGAAGAAACCAGTGGAGAAAGTTAAAGGCCCGGTGATTCCGTTGCTGATTCTACTGATCCCGATCTTCGGCATCACTCGAATGCGCTTCGTCAAGTCGTGCTGCATTGGTTGGGGCATCTTCTTCAGCTACTTGATCGTCATGATGAGTGTGCGCAACACGCTGCCTGTTCCCAGCACGTTTGATTCGTTCACGGATATCTCTTACCAGGCCATTAACTACGGCATCACGGCCATTGGTGGTATGGTGTCGCAATACCGTCAAGAGCTACTACGTCGGCGTAATTTCTGCTTGCAGTTGCCCTTCTCAGGCACGATGGGAGCTGATGCTTTGGCCGAGATTAAGACGGACAAGTTCAGCAAGAAAACGCTCATGCACCGCTGGTCGCTCAAGTTCCGCCACCCGGAAGTCGAAGAGTGTTTCTACCGCTACTGGTACCTCATTGACCCGTTTCCATACGAGAATCCGAACTCGGGCTCGCTGCATCAGGGTGTTTTCCGGACCATTCGATTTGCGGTGGGGACGTTGCTGCTGAACCAGCTCGTGCTTTTGTTGCAAGACATCAAGTTCCTCAAGGTCAAGAAAGACAACTTCGTGGATGAGAGTGACTTGACATACGCCCTCGTGCTTCGCTTTGGGGTCACCGTGCCGCTGTACTTCTCCGCAGCGCTGTTCATGTTTTTTTTGGGCAAAGCTTTCTACGCTCGATGGATAAAGGAGGCTAGTGATGCCACAAACGCTGCACTGATCCGAGACTCGATTGTTGAAGTTGACGTCAATAAGTATCTTGATGGTGATCGTGGAAGCATGAGTGGGGTCCTGGTCGGGTCTGCACGATCGACGCAGGATACAACACGGATGAAAGTTGTGGTGGAAGCAGCACAGATCAAGTATGCCACCAAGGACAAGGTACTGGATGTGCTCATTAATAAGGGTGGGTACGTGCGTTCGACGCAGCTTTTCTCGTCCCTCGTGATCGCTTGTCACGTTTGTTGTATGGGGATCCTCCTCTTGGCTGTCTCAACAGGTCCGAAAGTGGACGCCTTTGACAATACGCCTGGCACGACTCCGGGGCAACCAAAGCCCGTGTATTACATGGGGTTCCTGAATGCAGTGCTGTTCGCTCATCGTTCAGGCTTTCGCGTGCGCTTTATCTACGCCACCTACACGACGTTCGCAGTCGCTTTGGGGATCATTATTGCAGCCAGCAGCATGTCACCGGCTCATTATCAGCAATATGCTGGCTACGTGGCTGTTATTTTCCTCATGGGGATGATGATCTCGTACGAAGAAGAGAGTCTTCGCCGCACGTTTTTCGTGCTCAAGTCGATTCGGACGCTCGAGTTTGAAGAGTGGTTCAGTGTCGTCTTGCGGATTCAAGGCTGGGTGAAGGACCGATTCCGGAAGAAACTAAGGGACGTGCGCTCGAAAGGGAGTCACGATGTTGAAACTCGTCGGAAACCAGAGACGAAGGCGCTACTGATCAACACGTCGACGCAAATGGCTTACGCTTCGAAACTCGGCATGTACTCGCAACTGTTCAACATCATCATTGCCATTGTGGACGTCATCACCAGTAGTTTGTAAGCTCTGAAGCAGGGTCCGAAGAGATGAGGAGGAAGAGTGTAGTAGTACAAGTTCAAGTTGTTATATGTTTGACTCGAATTCGGGAATCTTAAGAGCGTGTTCCACGTGCACGCCCAGTCTATTGATTGGTAGTACGATACTTCCTTGGAAGATGCCGGTTGTCTCCCTTCTTGGACACCACCAGTCTCCTCAATCGAGTTCGTCGACACTAAAGCATTTCTGAAGTGGCACCAAGTTCTCGTCCGCTAAGCAGCTTCGAGAGACTCTGCGATTGAATTTGTCCTGACCAAGTACCGGGAGGGAAGTGCTCATGTGAAGGTTTTTCGACGAGCTTGGAACCCGTCGATTCGTGCTACTTGCACTGCGTTCCAGCACTTGAGAACACGTAAAGTGGCCCGATTCCCGCAACACATCCGAGTAGTAATCGAGCTCGTCTTGGTTCCATTGCATGTCGATTTCATTGGCAAGACTTGCTCGTTCGACAAAGTTGGCAAGGCCATCGAGGTTCTCCGGCAAGTCCGCTGGTGCTGGAATCCACGCGTCCGAGTCAATTTCCGAGTACCCCTGACTCTGCGACGACGTCAACGGACTATTTCGTTGTTTCGCGCTGGACGTGGACATGGACACGGACGTGGACGTGGGGTAGTGACTACCCCCGCCACAATGCAAGTGCTGCTGCTGGTGGTCGTGGCTGCCGTTGCTCGTGGACTCGTTGAGACTGCAAATGTAAAAGGACGACATGGTCAAGCGCGTCACGTCCGAGATACACTGCGTGCAAAAGCGTTCCTTCCCAGGCTTCTGCGAGTGCAAGTCCAGTCGAAAGACCGTGCACCACTCGTGGCACTTCCGACACGTGTTGCGGCGACAGCCCAAGCAGAGTTTCAAAGACCCGCTGAGTAGGTTCGGTTTCTTCATGCACACGTCACACGAGTTGCTCGTGGACGGCAGGCGCTCTGCATTCTGCGCTGCTCGAGCCGAGTAAGCTTTCGCCCTTGCAACCAGGAGGAAGTTCCCGACGGAGAGCATCCTCTCTGCTGTCAGCAGGTCTCCGACACTGCGAGGGAGCGTGCCGCCCATGGAAGAGCTCCCAATGACAAAGCAGCCCACGAGTTCCTCTTGCACCTGTCGAAAGAGGTAGCAGAGCGACACGGTGCCCCGTTTCAAGTTGTGCTGGCGATCCGCCGGCACCTCGTCCAGCTCGATCGAGTCCATGACGTGGTAGACAAAGTACCGGCCGTGGCAATCCACGATCCGTCCGAGACGGTTGTAGTAGAGCAAATCCCGGTCGTGGATCAGCGACGCGCTCGTGGGCGTCTTGAGCGCCATCCACTTGATGCCCGAGAACACGACGCTGCTCGTGACGGCGTTCCGGTCGAACACGTGCACCACGCGGGCGTCGAGGCACGTGTTCTTGATCACGATGCTCGTGGCAATGCGCATGGCCTCGGTCTCGTCTGCGTACGCGCCGCTGACCATGTCCTCGACTGTGCCGGGGACGACTCCGCTGCAGAGAAACGGGCGTTCTTCATGCGGGCCGCGCGTCCCGGTGTCCCGTTGGCGGTAGAGACTGAGCGACTTTCTCCGCTTGACGAGTTTCCAGCGGTGCGCCTTGCCACCGGCGACCTTGCTGCTGCTGCTCTTGCTGCTGTCGTCTCGCGCGGGCACGCGGGGGTTGCTGCGGTGGAACTCTTGGTACGCGGTGAGCGCGCGCTGGACGAGGTCGTCGCTCGTGGCTTCGAAGCGCGCGCGGCACTCGGGCGTCAAGTGGAGACGGGGGACGCCTCCTAGCGACGTGCTGCCGGCGCTGGTCATTGCAGCTGCCCAAAGGCTTGCGAGTGGGTTCAGACGCAGGGACGGACGGAGGGAGGGAGGACGGTTTAGTACGTACGTACGTACGTACGTACGTAGGTAGGTGCACTTTAGAAAGGTAAACAGACTGACTAACTGACTGTTTGACTGACTGTTTGACTGACTGTTTGACTGACTGTTTGACTGACTGCGTGCTGAAGTGGTTCACTGAGTGAGCGAGTGTGTTGCTACTACGGGCGCGACTGGACTGCTGCCGAATCTTGCACCTGCTCCATCTTGTGCGAGCTGTCGACGGGACGATGGCAAAAGAAGGTTCGGGCAGCAACAATGACAATTGAACACGCAGAGAGCGAAAGAAAAGAGGCGCTAAAGCGACAAGAGAACGCGCGGGCAAGTGGTGGTGCTTGGTTTGACCGCAAACGACTGGCGCGAGTGGCGTGTCGCTCGAGTTGAGTATCTCGACGAGTCGCACGTAGTCCCTTTCTTTTGCATTGGACCTCGCGGTGAACGCCGTCCAGTGGTTTGATTTCGCGACTTTGTGTAGTACTTCTTACTACCGAGATCGCTGGACTCGCGCAAACAAACAACACACACGCACACACGTAGCTTTCGTAGTTTGGGTTCCGACGGACGTCTACTCGGTTGAACATGTTTCGGTACTGTTGCTGGTTCCTGATCCTGTTGACCTCATGGTATGGATGACACTACGTGATTGTGTGTAACAATGAAATCGACTCATCGTTTTGTTCCTAATTTTGTAGAGTCGATATCGACAGTAGTACAACGAGACGAACTAAGGACCTAGCCGGATGATCATTCACTTTCCATTTTGCCTTCTTCAAAGCGTTTTCATCTTAGATCGCCCTCCGCTGTTGCCAAAAGTCAAAAGGTTATGAGCCCAACTACGCCAGACGCGGGCGACGTACTCTGTGAAGACAACTACTTCGTGTGGGAGTGCAACACGAGGATGAGACTGGCAGAGAAGAGATTATAATAGCATCTAGACTGTAACAGGGCACCCTGAAGCTTGTACTGGTGACAGTACAAGCTACTTATTCTGATGACAGAATAAGGCGGTGCCTCGGAACTTCACGTACACTCGTACGTGCAGAGGAAGACGGTAAGAAGAAGCGAATACTTGGTTAAAGTAAAAAGTAGAACTGTATTTATAATAGTTAATGTCTGCAATAAATCACTATTTATCTTCATCTAACTATGTCTAAATACAAATGTGTAAATCAGTTATCTGCTCACCACTCATTGCGTGCGTCTGTCGTGGCGCGTCTTCGTTGGTTGATATAATGGCCTATATCAACCAATTAGGAACTACTTGGAAGTGCTACAGAATATTGTCCTTATGACAATATTCTGAGAATATAACTCTTATAGTTATATTCTATTAACAATTTCTTATTAATTGTTATGTAACGATTCACCCCGCTACATCACCCCCCCCTTAACCATCAGTCACTTTAGTGACTGATTGACTAAATGGATACTCGTCCCAAATCATTTGGGACGGGGTTTGCACTTGTTGGTCCGCGTCCACTTTCCAACATCTCATCGCATGGTAAACAAGCCCATGCGATGCGCGAGCAAGGCCGCCGAGAGCGCGTCTGCACGTCTCTGTGCGGACGCCGAAGCAGAAACTACAGCAACTGATGTCCCATCGGTTGCTGAATCGACTCAGCCTGTATCACCTGGTGATGCAGGCGCTGGTCATGAAGACACTCGTGTCTTCACAGAGTACGAGCTCGGTGTCTCGTACTCTCCTGATACGGATGACGGATCCGTATCGACGGCGATTGAATCGAAGCCGCCTGCCAAGCGTGGCATGGACGATGCTTTGCGTCGCAGCATCTTTGGTTCATCTGATGAGTCAGATGAACCATCGCCGAAGCGAAGGCGCTCGAGGTCGCGAGACTCGGGCGCTAATAGTGGTGTCGTTTCTCCAATGGACACCACTTCACAGCGAGGTGCCAGTACTTCTGTCGGCACGTCGCAGGAAGAGCGGGATCGCAATGTGTTGCGTCTCGCTCCAGAAAAGAAGGCATGGATGCCTCCTAAATCTGTCATGGATCACTTGTCGGCGACGACGAGTGATCGTTATCGAACACGATTGTTCGATTCGTCGAGGATTCATCACCTTGACCCCAGCGCGAAAGACTATCGCGCTGAACATGAGTTCTTCATCGATGCTTTCTTCAGACATCGATGGTACAGTGGGAATCACAAACGTGATGGTCCCTCACTACTTCAGGCGTGGAACGCCTACATCCATAATCTCGAGGATGTAGGTCGTGACGCTTGGAACGACAAACTTATCAAAGCTCGTGATAAGTTTGAAAAGCGAACCCCGACAGGTGCACGCTACAAGCTGCATCGTCTGTCAAGGGAGAAAGGATTACCCTGCCTCTCTTGGGGAGACTCGTGCCCATGTTGTGTGAACAACTCTGCACGAGCACCTAAGGAGGCTTACCTCCTTACCAGCCCGTGGTGGCGCGTACGTGTCTCTACTGAGATGTACGAAGGGATTGACAACCTGAAATCCCTTTACGACCGTGCCGGGAAGACTTTCTCCGGCGGTCCTTCTGCGGCACAGGATGTGTCGCGTCGTACTGCTCGACCAGACCCAGTACGTCAACCATCAATTGGGAGCGGGGCTCCCAAGAATCCCAGGACGGGGGATAGCCGCGCCACCGGACGAGGTAACTCGTCCGACGTCCGTTCACGTCGCGGTGGTTCAACAGCTGCTCAACTAGATAGCGCTGGCCACCGCGAGAGTCCTCTAATGGAGGTGGAGGAGGAGGAAAGACGCTCTCCACACGATCATGTGGATCGGTGTGTTCCCGAGAGCTTCTTTGATCGCGTAACGCAAGGGTTACGCGACGATCTCGAGCATGAGCGGAATAGGCGTCTCCAGATGGTGGACACTGCCTCGAAGCATCGAGCTGAGTTTGCCTTTGCTCAGCTTGAGAACGAGAGATCTCTGACATCTCTTCGTGACGAGCTAAGGGTAGCTCGTGGGATTGTTGATCGGTCTCGGGCTGAGATAACTGCTCTTCAGACCCTTGTTGATGCCCACCATCGGGAGCACAAGGCTCTCTGCGAGATGCTTGAGCGCAAGGGCGTTCTTCATCGGAAGAAGCAGCGTACTGATGGTACGGCTTAAGCCGACCAACGTAAAACGTGGGATGCGTTCGCATCTTACGTGGTAACTCGATCGTGTATGCATTGCCTAGGCGGTGCAATACACGAAATGGGCCAATGTACTTGGGTAGTAGTTTACTGCTACCCAAGTTAGTCACTACATGTTTTGGTAGATTAACCGTAGACAGTAGGACTAAGTCACCTTTATTAAATAAAAGAGTGTTTGCCCTTCCATTCTTGTCAGCGTTTTGCTTTTGCTTATCCACCGCTTCGGCGATGGAGTCTTGCACAAAACGGACTACCGTTTCACGAGCCAGTATGAACTCATCTGATGACTCGTTAGCTTCAGTGTGCTGTGAGCGCACTGCAGCGACAACAACCTTTTCTTCAGTGAGGGCTTCCGCACTCTCACTGGGATCATTGTCTTCAGTGAGGGCTTCCGCACTCTCACTGGCATCATCTTCTTCGATATCGATGTTATCGATATCGGCATCAAACGCAATGACTTCTTCGTCAGAGCGTGATGAGCGTGAACCAAATCGGTTTTTGCTCGCGCGAGTCCCTCCCCCCTTAAACCAGAGTTACACTCTAGTAAGGTGGGTACACGCGGATGGCGCAAGCCATTCACGTAAAACGGAGTATGTGTCGTGGACGCATGCACCGAGTTGTTGATGGCAAACTCTACCATCGGCAAAAACTCACTCCAACTCTTAAAGGAGTGTACGTATCCTTGAAGTATCTCTTCAAGGACACGATTGGCACGTTCCGTCTGACCATCTGACTCTGGATGATCAGATGTTGACATCTTCAAGCGCGTTCCGAGTGATTTGAACACGGAACGCCAGAAATCAGCAGTGAATCGTGGATCTCTGTCTGATACGAGTTCACGGGGCAACCCATGAAGTCGGAAGATGGTGTCAATAAAGACACAAGCACAGCCACTTGCCGTGATTGTCTCTGGTACAGCCACAAGGTGTACCATTTTGCTGAATCTGTCAACAAATACGAGAATACCCGTATTCCCGCGTGCGTCTTTGGGTAACCCGAAGACGAAATCCATTGAGATGGATTCCCAGCACTCAGCCGGAACCGGTAGAGGCTGTAAAGGTGCACGCAGTGAAGGACTTGACTTCACTCGTTGGCAGACTTCGCATGCGCGAACATACTTTCGCACAAACTGATACTGGCGGGGCCAGTAAAAGTCTCGACTTACCGTGAGATATGTTTTCTCTCGGCCACGATGTCCTCCTATAGGAGCATCGTGATACTCGAACATGATCCGCAAACGCAGATCAATATCATCTGGAATGACAACACGTGGTGTGTCACCAGAAACGGCTGTATAGTACAGTAAACCGTTACGAGTAGTGTATCGATCTGATGCAGATCGATACGCAGACGACAATCGTTTCAACGATTCTCGAGATGGTTGGGAGAGATGTGACAACAACTTCACTATCTCACCATCTTGGGCGTATGCCCGCCTCACATCATCATACAACGTTGTAGATGGAACTGAGGACGTCATAACCGCAACAGTGACTGTCTCACTGTTGGGTTTCGCGACTGTTTCAAAGTCGGGACGACGTGAGAGTGCGTCAGCGACGACATTAAGTCGTCCTGGTTTGTACTCGACCGTAAAGTTGTATTCTGCAAAGAATGACAACCACCGCGCCATTCGTTGTGAAAGGTGCGGGCTGTTCACTGCCGTGCGTAAGGACGCATGGTCAGTGTAAACAACGAAGGGTCTATCTCCTAATAGATAGACTCTGAACTTCGCGAGTGCATACTTTGTGGCAAGGAGTTCCTTGTCATGCACTGGATAGTTCCGCTCAGCTGGTTGCAGCTGACGCGACTGATAGCAGACGACGCGTTCAACGCCTTCAAGGTCGTACTGCATTAATGCACAGCCGATTGCGAAATCGCTGGCATCACAGACCACATGAAATGGCCTGTCCTGATCGGCTATTGCTAGGACTGGGGATTGTATCAAGCTCTGCTTGATACCATCAAAGGAGCGTTGACATTCAGCGTTCCATAACCACCTCTCGTTCTTTTTCAACAAACGAGAGAGGTGTACAGTCATCTCGGCGTAATTGCGTGAATACTTATGCAAATACGCCGCTAGCCCAAGGAATTTTCGAAGACCTTTGACATCGACCGGCACGGGCCAGTCGGTGATCGCCTTGATCTTTTCGGGATCAGGACGTACACCGTTCTTACCAACGATGCACCCAAGAAGTGGTATTTCGCTTGCTGCAAATATACACTTCTTGAGGTTTGCATACAATTGATGCTTTCGCATGATTGTAAGAACTTGTCGGACGTGGTACTTGTGAACCTCAACGTCCGACTTTCCATCCATAGCTCGACTATGGATGAATACTTCATCGAAATAACTCGGCGCGAATTCTCGTACTGGCCTCAACAGATGTGATACACACCTGTTGAACGTGGCAGGGGCATTACTAAGCCCTTGTGGCATTACTAGCCATTCCCA